CAGGATTAGCCACCGGCGAGGATGCTCAACACAGTGACACCTGCCTGTGCCCAGTTTGCCGGCAGAGCAAGAACTCGCAGGTTCCAGTTAGCTCTTGTGCTGGCACTCGCAGCTCAGGCACCTCTGCAGCCAGGAGGTCAGACCCTAAATCCCCGCGTCTCCTGCTCTACGCCGAGCTCTACGCTACGTCCAGCGCCAGTCCTACAGTGGTACTCAAACCGCATTTTGTGCGCACGTTCAACGCGTCTGCACTTCTGGGGTAGAAGCTAGCATTTGTATTGTATTGTTAAGAAAAATGAGCGCTGTAAAGGGGAAGGCGTGTCCTCTCTCCGACAGCCAACATGAAAAGCCTCCTCACTCTTTTTTATAATTTTCCAGGAAAGTGTCTACCGTACCTTGGTTTTTCAGAATAGTTATGCTCAAACTGTATCCACTCATTCTTGCTGATACAATAAATCCAAGCATCACCTGAAAACAAGCAAAACCCCAAATACAAACAGTATTCTGTTAGTTCTTTCACATTTGCTGCGATACACATGTACTCTCGTGTAGCACAGTCCATTTTTGTTCTTAAATAAATCAAATTTTTTCAGGAAAAACCCTATGAAACTTTGGGCTGTCTGTTTGAAGACAGGCGTTTAACAACGGTTTATAGGAGTGAAGTCAGAAGGGAAAGATGAAGAACTGTAAAGCTCTTCCCAATTGCAATTTGCATTAGATACATTTTTAGAGCAGATTAATTTCTATAAATAGTCGTCTCTCAACACACTCGGCGACTCCTACTCTGTGGAATTAGCTGTTGACCATAAGGAGTTGGATCACAAGTGCATGGAAGGAATTTAGAAATAATTTAAGGTGACTAGGCAATAATTCAAGCTTCCGTGCACAACTGTTTAAAAACACAAAGGCAACACAAAATCCTTTTGGAATGACTTACTTAATGGCTGCTTGTCAGTGGTGAATCCTCCAAAGAGAAAGAGGTGGTCTGAGGAAATTGGTGTTAAAGAATGCCACGATCGGCCAACTGGGCAAATGCCTTGCGTGATTCTGTATTTCAATAAAAGCACCATAAATTACGCACGCGCTACAATAAAATACCGCTGCTCTTTTCATAGAATCATAGAATCATTAAGGTTGGAAGAGACCTCCAAGATCATCGAGTCCAACCGTCAACCCAACACCCCCATGCCCACTAAACCATGTCCCTCAGCGCCTCATCTACCCGTCTTTTAAATACTTCCAGGGATGGGGACTCAACCACTTCCCTGGGCAGCCTGTTCCAATGTTTAACCACTCTTTCAGTAAAGAAATTTTTCCTCACGTCCAATCTAAACCTCCCCTGGCGCAACTTGAGGCCGTTTCCTCTCGTCCTTTCGCCAGTTACTTGGGAGAAGAGACTGACCCCCACCTCGCTACAACCTCCTTTCAGGTAGTTGTAGAGAGCGATGAGGTCTCCCCTCAGCCTCCTGTTCTCCAGGCTGAACAACCCCAGCTCCCTCAGCCGCTCCTCAGCAGACTTGTTCTGCTCTCATTTTTTTTCAGATATTTGAAGGATGCAGCTTCATACTGCGCACAGCTCACGACCCAACAGCAAGTTTAGCTTCTTTAAACACAGTAAGAGAGTTTTACTCGTATCAATACTTAAAAAAGCCTGGCAGCAGGAGTCAGCAACTGATCAGGAGGATCAGTTCTACTCGAGTTTACTTACTTGCTGGAGTTTACCAAGTTTCACTAGAATGATCAGAAGTGAATAAAAACGGCATCTTCGTATTGCTTTACAAACAAAAGAACCCAAGTTTTAGTACCTACATTTCATTCCACTCCCACGTATCCAGATTCAGATAGTAAAGATCGTTCATTCTGGACTCCTACAATAAAGCAGACCGTGGCTGAAACACTCCGTTTAGGTTTCGGTAACACATCGTTAAACTGGGCTGGGGCTTACTCTGTATCTGCCACCGAACACGTAGCCTCTGTTCCCAACTGTAGCACAGGCGTGAGCTGCTCGTGGTGACGGAGTTTTACCCTGGGCAAAGAAAATGCGAAATAAGAAGGTCAGTTTATCTGATACGTTAACGAAAGAAAGAAAATGCCACTTGACCAGAAACCTGCAGTAGATCAAGCAAAGAGGAGCTGGGCCCGAGACGCCCATCACACACAGGAAGCAGCACGGCTACGGCCACACCAGGCACCCTGGGAGGCGCGGTGGGACGGCAGACACGGTGGGGCAGGGGCCGGGCCCCTCTCAGGCCTCCCAGGAGAGCTCACCTGGACACCGCACTCAAGGCAAAGCAAGGCCTCACAGTTCCACAAATCAGTCACCCGAGGAGATGAAAGGCTGAACTAAAGTCAGATTTAAGGCCAACAAGGAACAGAGAGTGAAAAAACATCCAGTAAGTCATTCTGCGTGCAGGAACTTGCTTTTTTTGATGGATGGAAGATCGGAAAACTCATTAAAAACAGGATTTTTTTTCCCCCCTCTTTAAGTGTCAAGGTATAAATTTTGCTTTTAGAAGAGGGTCCAGACAGTGACAGAAGACTTCAGACTGCAAATGAGACAATGACGTAATAAATCATTAAACAGTATTTTTCTTGAGTTACTTCTGAAATATTTGAGATCTGTATGCAGCAAGACAAAGCAACTCTTTGGTAATCTGAATAAGGAGTTACTTATCTCAGATTTCATTTCCTCCAATTCTGTGGCAGTATCACTCCATCTGCCTGTTCCCGAGTACTTCTGGAACACTTCAAATGGTGTATATTTGCAATTACGGAGTGTTTCATTTTGTTTTGACCACAATTCAGCACCCAAGTGAAACGTTCCAAACCATCACATTACAGTGAGGATGACAGGAAACCATACGTTACGTTTTCCTGAGCTCCCCAGGAGCACAATGCCACTGGAGCATGAAAGAAAGCAAGTCAACAGGAAAAAAGATGAAGAGAGAAAGACAGATCAAAATAAAAGGCAAGCTTCCCGTTTTTGGAGAGGAGAGAGGACCTAAGTAAATGAATGGTTTAAATTCAGTTTAAATGGCCCCAAGAACGCTACTGAACAGGCAGCAGGCAATTTTTATTTTGAGGGGATGTTTCCAAGGCTAGTTCTACCAACAGTGTTTCAAACCCCTCTCTTAATGGTCCTTCCCCTAAAAGGACGTTGTGGGTTAAGACCACAAACACAAGCTAATGACACCTCACGGAGTCCATATATAGGAGAGCAATTAACGGTCCCCCTTCGCTGGCAAGAGAGTAAGGTACAGGGAATTAAGACAGCTCGCTCAGGAAGCGCGAGAGGGGAAGAGAGCCCTGGTCACATCGTCCTAAGCTTTAGCTCCTGGCCAGGTTTCCTCCCCTGGTCGGATCAGACAGACTGCGTGTCCCAGGAGGGAAGCCAGAACAGCAGAAAGCAGCAGTGCTGCAGACGCAGTGCTTCCCACCAGCCACAGCTAGGGCGCGCGGCCTGTGAGTCATCCCATGGAGAAAACAAACTCAGCGAGCACCACTGAGGCAAGATCAGCTCCACACGGTCCGTTGGTGGAGTCCCAGTCTCATGACCCTGCAAGGCACTTCTCACGTCCTCCTGCTAGCTAGCACTAGGTATTTCAGAGAGCTCTTCCACCTTTTCTAACTCCTGGCATTTAGGGACTGGTTTATGTCCCGAAGAAGGCAGGATCACAGAGCACCTCACAACTAAATACTTGGCAGTTAACTTGGCATGGTGACATGTGAACAAGGCTGCAGGGCGGAGCAGGAAAGGAGAAAAATGTATTTTGGGTGAATACGCTTCTTGCTTGCAAACAGTTAACCACATCTTCTAAAATAACGCCAGGGAGATACAGACTAGAGATAGGACCCCCCCATGAGATACAACAGGTTAAGCCAGCCTCACACCGCAAGTTCTCCAAGCACACAGCCAGGCACTCTGAACATCTGCAGCCCGAAGCCACTGCTGCTGGGGCAGGCCACTACTAACCTGCACAGCCACGCAAGGAGGCCATTTTATCAGCACCTTCTTCTACCTTGACACAAATTAAAGCAGTGAACCCAGGCCTAGCAGAGTCATGCTTATTTTCACAGAACGCTACAAGAGATATGGCACACAGTGCACATATTTCTTAAGAGCTGTAACTTAAAACAACTGACGTAAGACTAATAATTACCGTAGTTATAGGCTGGCTCCAAGTAAAAGTTTCAGTGTCCAGAACATGCACGTGGTCATTCCACCCTCTAGGAAGACCTGAATTCTTTAAAAATATTAAATAAGCAACAGTTTTTAATAAGCACTGATTAAATATTAAAGTTTAAATAGAAATTACTTCCAGGTTTACTTACCCAAAAAGAGGTTTCATCAAATTCAAAAGTTCCCCGTTGTTTCCCTTCAGGAAAATAACCATAGCCTCCAAAAAATATTAGCCTGGAACAAAACATGCATGAAGAGCTATTAGAAATGCTAGCATATCTGTTGCTACCAATTAAAGTTCTGTAAAGGCTGTGCTCAAACGGAAGACAGGAAAACCAGGGAAGCTCCTTTGGCTTCATTACTTCCAATACGTCTACAATGCAAGTTTTCCAGGTGTGGGGCCCTGTTTCTTGCCTAATCGACCCTACCACCCACATTAAATCCCTCTGTAGCTGTTTCCCAGGCCTCAGGCTTCCAAGCTTTGCTCCGGTTCCAAATGTGTGAGGCTACCAGGCCTGCTGCCCGATTGCTGCGCTTGAGCCTTTGCTATCGGAGCTCCCACACAGCAGCTACAGGTGTTTATTCCTGCAGTTTCCTACCTCCGCCCTTTCCAAGCCCTCTGCCCATTTTCCCTGAGCCCAAAATGTTCCCAGACACCCCTGTAAGAAGCAAAGGGAAAGCACTACAACCTGGGCACGGTCGCTGTGGAGTTGTGTGCTCGGCAAGGCAGGGCAGGAGACCAAGGGACGCTACATGCGGCAGACCCTCTACCAATGAAGCTGCCCGGGAAGTTTTTAGTTTTGGGGGAGGAAGATGTTTTCCTTTGTACTTGCTGCATTTTGTTTCAAAGCCTGAAGAACAGTTACTGTGAGCAGTCACTCATCTGATTTTACTGTTCTTTTTGTTTTTTAAAATGTAATTTAAGTTTTATGTTTGGGTTTTAGCACACATTAGAAACTAATGGCATGGTTTTGCCAGAAATTCTTATTGAATTATGAAGTAACAGAAAACAATCTACACCACCTAACTAAACACCCACAACTCCAGTCTTGCACAGATTTACATCTAAACTGATCACATCAAGTATCATAACAGTAAGCTTTCTCTCCACGTCAAGAATCTGAAAACTAGCACCACAGGGAATTCCCTGTTTTTCATGAGTCTCTGCAGCAAGTCCCACAGCAAATACCATAACAGTGAGCTTCCCCTCCACATAACGGACAAAGCAGCACAGCTACCTGTAGTGTCATACACCAAAATCACCATACGTGGCTCAAACACAAGGACATACGGCATCCCCGATTTTTCCTCTGCCTCAGTAGAGCCAGAGACGATACAGCCAAGACCAGTTGTGCTAACAGGCAAAAGATGGCTGTGCTGTCCCGGTAAGGTTTTGTAGGTAACAGCTTAAACCCCTACCCTGACAGGACAAGACAGTAAGACCCGTAACCCTTGCCAGCTGTGACTAAAGAAGAACTAGAGGCCCCTGACCGTCACCTCATATTTGCATCAGACCTCCTCAGCCCCTGGCACCACGTACCCCAGCAGCACTGCCCACGCCAGGCGCCTGCCCACGGCCTGCGGAGAGAGCCCTGCTCCTGCGGGGATCAGCCCATCCAGCTTCTCCTGCAAGGGGACAATTCTGGCCACGTGAGCTGCCACCTGTGCCAGAGCATTTTGGAGTTCTGTCCTGTGGAAGCCAGGAACCCTCTGAGAAACCAGCCCTGGGGAGATGCTCCAAGCAGAGAGCCAAAAGCCCCTGATCGCCCCTGACCTCCCCTGAGATAATTCACTTCCATCCCCAACCTTCCCAGCAGCTGGGATACAGCAAGCCTGTGGAAGCAGGAAACTACCTACCTACAACAGGGGCTTTCCTCAGTCTATCCTCCAGTGCCAGAAGGCTGGAACAATCTCATCACACAGCTCTCGCTTCGGGGACTAGCGCTACACTAACTGGATGGGGGAGGAGGGTGCAAGGCAACAACAACGTTTTGCACGTCAGCTCATCTGGCCTCAGCACCTTCTCCTTGTCTTCCTCATCTTTTCCAAGGTTTGCAATTCCAAAAGGCCTTCTGGCATCTCTGGGACACTATCCCAGCACATTAAATCAGATAACATCAACAGCAGTTCATCTAACACATTCCTTGTTTTGTGCAACCAGCACAAAACACACTGAATTAAGCATGTGCATCGCTGAAAAAGCCACACGCAATTTTAAGATTAAAATGGTGTCCTGCTCTTCAGCTATCAAAGAAACGCAAGCTGTCCCACAAGACGTGACCAAATGTCCCTCTGCATTTTGCATGATAGGGGGAATCCCAGAACAGGCTTCTGTGAAGAATAATTCCCGATGCAATTGCCAAGAGGAATGACGCTGATACAAGTAACCACGATGCGGCGTCTTTAAAGCAATGTACTGAGAAGGCACCGTGGAAGATTTGCCTGTAATGAGCCTCCATTTTGGATTGTGACTCACACAGATACTTTGCAGCTTACATATACCCAAATCGGGAGTGAGGTTTTTCGCTTATCAACTGTTAAAAGACGGAACAGTTTCAAAAGGCCGGCTGCGGAAGAAATCCAGCATTTTCCTGAAGCACGTATGTGCTGCAGACAGGAAGTCCTTCTGCAGCTCTTGTTCAAACAAAAAGACACAACAATGACAAGACTGAGAGTGATTAAAAGCAAACACACGCGCAAGGATAGCTGTGCTGACTTCGTTGCTGGAGCCTTACTTGTTTTTGTAAACCCAAACGCCAAGTTTGTCCTTTGATGAAGGGGGTACCCCCTGACACTCTACTCTGACCCACTGCAGCACTTTGTCCGTGGATCTGGAATTTAACATGTAGAACTGTAGAAAATAAAAAGATTTTTTTTACCCACACAGTTTGCTTAAAGCTTAAGTCTGACCGATGTTAAAATATTAACTTTTAATTAGCATGTATTGGTATAGAAATAAATTAAACGTTCTTTTCCCAGCTGCACAGAGCACTGACAATGTTTGGAACAAAATATGGATCCGAAGATCCTTATCTTGTTGCAGACTCAAGCCCCAAACACTTTTTTACAAAAGTAACAGGACTATGGACATCGGGTTGTACCATCCAAAAGCTGAAATGGGATACAATGAAGGTGTGTACAAAGTAGCAATTGTCTTACAATAAAGAAAAAAATCTGTTTAAAAAAAAAAAAAGGTGTTTTTTTTACAGTATCATCCCTTCTCTGCGTGTTACATCATTTTACATGGAGAGAAATAGCTGATACACATATATGAACTAACTGAAATGGAAGAATACCACAGCAGGAAGGAAGCAAGTCATACTTTATAAACGCAGTTTGTTGCAGACTATTTGCAAGCATTGCATCAAGCTACTTTCATTTTACATTTAAGAGTGAGGCCAAAATAAGTGTTTAATTTAAACTACACTTCCAGAACATCAGAAAATATTATCAGAGACCCCAGAGGAGAATAACATTTCAAACAACTACAGAGCAGTTACAGATCACCTTCCGTATTATTTCAGTGAGCTCTGGAAATTCCCATCTTTCAAAAGAAGCAAACTCAAAAGCACCAATGCAATACAATTCACAGGTTGAATTGCTCAAGAACAATTGCAACCAGAACAAGTAATAGGTCATGGTGTTTCTTCAGTGGTGTAAAGCTACCAGAGTACAATCATCATGTGAAATGATGCAGAGCTGAGGGCTGATCTGTTTTACAAATGTCACGTTACCTGACCTGTTGCGGAGAAATTAATACACTGAACTGGTAAAAGTCAGCCAGCTAATCACCTGCATGGAAAAAAAACCCCAAGCGCTAAGCACCATATTTTGTTAGTCAAAACCTCTTAGACAAGCACAAGAAGAACACGGCTTCAATTAGTTCACATCTGGGGAAGCCGCTGACAGGATGAGAAAGCTGGTTATCTGCTTCCAAGAACTAGAGAGATAGCCAGTAGATGAAAATACTGTGCTGCAGAAGCCATGGAGGACACAGTGACTGGACACACGTTCAGCGTGCCGTTATTAACATTTAAGCTCTGTAACAAGATCCAACTTGTCCAGTCATTCAGAAGAAAATGTTTCCTTGATTTGTTAAGATTATACATTTCTTGCTTTGGATGGATTTCAATTAACCAAAAAGGCCGCCTCTAGTTTATAAAAAATGGGAACAAAAGCTAATGAGGAGAAACTTATTTGTGAGGAGGGGTTTACCTTTAAATTACTAACCTTGTTTGTATTGCCACGTGCATGATGTCCTCCAAACAGGTACACCACTCTGTCTACACACACGGCACAACTTCCAGACATGGAAGGTGGAACATCTCCCTCTGTTTTACTCTTCTTCCTAGAAGCACAGGTTAAAATATTTTATCTGATAAAAATGAACAGCAATGATTTTATCTGGAGTGGAATTTTCTAACACTACCAGCATGTTTTTAATTACGATAGGTCATTGTGGACCATTCAGTCTTGAGTTCTTCACATCCTTGCAGGTTTAACCTTAATTTACAAGACTAACCTGGTATGATGGAGGGGGGTGGGGAAAAGGCAACTTAATTAATACATGTTTTGTGGGGGAGGAATCCCGTCTGCCCAGTTCAGGACTTCGGTATGCCTTTCACATTCAAAATCCCAGAAAGATCCTCAGGCAAAGAGGATGCACCTGTCTGAACTATTGTGCTACTGGATTTTTAATGTTTGTAAACATTACAACGACACAGATGAGCTTCCAGCCCATGTCCAAGGTTCTCCCTAACAACAACGAGGACTGGAAGCTCTGCTGAAATTGCACTTTCTGCAAAACGCTGAGGGGACTTGGCTTCGCAGCGCAAGGCCCTAGCCAGCTACTCAACTGGAGCACTGGATTCCCTTCTCTTGCACTATCAGGCACGCGGGTTTCACACAACTTCCAGGCTCCCAACGATCTAAGATGACACAGTAGTTTCTTTGGCTGCATCAACATTTAAAAACAACTTCTTAAAAGGACAACAAATAAAACACTCAGTACAGGTTCCCTCACCAATGTACCACTGTAATCAAAAGTGGTACAAATACAATTTTCAGGTGCTATATCCTATACCAGGCATCCCAAAACACTTCACACTGTTGATCACATACGCCTGTATAAGCTGCCTGTCCGAGTTGCCTTCCCTACTTCACCCTCTGAAAACATATTTGTTGTTTTCACAGAAAAAAAAAAAACATTTGGAAAGATTTTACACATTTATGCAACAGTTTGATAGGTGGGAACAAAGAGATCAGGGAATTCTCCCTCTGTTCACAGACCCTCAGCATGCCTTCTATATGAATTTAAGAATTTATCTTTTTCTTTCCCCCCAAACCCAACAATTAATTTAATTATTTACTGTACCATCTTCCAGTTTCCATGTTGTAGATCCATATTTCATCTCTAGGCAGATAGAAGTCATAAAATCCCCTAACTTGGGCATTCTGCAGAACAGGTCAGAAAAGAAAAAGCAACGTCAGAAGGATGCTAGACATATTGAATTAGACTCCTGTGAATGTTCACACCCCCTCAGAGATCTAATCACAGAACAGAAAACAGCAGGACCCGTGCCTGCTGCACTCCTGTACCTCTCATCTGCACAGCAGCCCTCGGAGAGCAGGTATTAGCCTATTTTAGCTTCTGCGGGGGACCAGACAAGCTCCCAGCAGAGCCAGAGACTGGGGTAAATGGAAGTTAAACCTCCTTTTCATAGCCCAAGCAGGTTATCTAGGTGCATAAATGAGCCAAAATTTCCTTTTGAGTTTCCCCACCCCCTGCATGACACCACCAGAACAATACACCAAAGCTTTGTCTTGAGCTACCAATTTATTTACGGAGTTCATTGACAATTCATCCTCATTCCTGTCAAAATTGTAAAATGACTTGGTTCTGCTTGCAGCACACGCACACCCCAGCGTGATAAATAACCAACCTGTGATCATTAACGTTCAATATATAGTTGTGCTGATAATGCTGTAAATAAAGGCACCATTTCGCACAGCGTGCATTTCAAATCAGACGGTATTTCTTTCTCTTCCAACAGACACGTGAATTGACAAAGGCAAACAACACCCTGCATCCCACAAAAGTCATCCGTTTGCCAAGATCTGCACTTAACGCTCACGATTTATTTCAATATTTCAAAACTCTTAAATGTCATATTCTAATTAGTTAACTGGAGCTTTCCTTTTCCAGGGGAGGGATAATTTTACAGAGTCACTCCCGAACTAATGGGACATAATTACCAGCACCACGGGTGGCAGAAGGCTTACTTAACAAGGAGAACAGCGTACCTTATAGCCTCCCCAGACATACATGCAGCGTCCATCAGTGACTGCCACGTGCCCGCTGCGCTCAGCAGGGCTATCGTTCTCCAGCTGCTCAAAGCTGTCCTCAGCTGGAGCTGGGAGCTCTTCATCCGCCTGCAGGTCTTCGTTGTCATCGGCCATTTCGACACAGTGCTACATGCAGAGAATAACACATCGTATGGAGCTTTGAAAACCACCAGGGGAAACCACCAGAGGGAAAAAACAAAGAAACTACACACTGGTGTTTCTTTCACAATGATGTTTCAGTGGAAGAAGTTATCCCATCAGTCAAGAAAGTTTCAGATGGGATTCCTCAGTTGTGTGTAATTTATAATGGTTTCAATTGCCAGTTTAAGCCAAGGTCTCTATCTTTTTTAAAAAATCACACTTAGCTATAAATACATTAATTGATGACCAAAAAGCAACCCACAACAGAATAAATTTGAAAGCTTTGCCTACAGTATGGTTTTCACAAAAGTGAAAACTCCTGCAGCTTTTCAGGCAAGGTCCCTTTGGGCTGCCGAAGCCATGTCTCCCACACACAAACCTTCCCATAGCTGTTAAATGCAGATGTTACCTATGCTAAAAAAAAAAACCCGCAAACCAAAGCCCCTTGTCCCAAATCACGCTGGCATGCACAAGGCCAAACCCCAGTGCGTCCTGGAAAGACAACAGCTATGCGCACCCAGCCTACGGCTCCTGAGCACTGTGCAGCTTCGGGGTAAGAGCAGCCTCCACGCCAGAGCTTTGGTACGTGAGGAGCCCCAGGGCCATGCTGTCACCGGGATCACTGGTAATTCAAAGCCCCAGCTGTGGGAGGAATCAAATCAGGAGGAGACGCTGAAGTCAGCCCTGCCAGGTCATCCGGGAAGCTGCCTGTACGCTCTGCCCCAGCCTGTAATGGAGCAGGGGGAGCCCTGAAAAGCCAAAGTCGCCTTCCACTTAGGAGCCACTCCCAAGCCCCCTTCTGCTTTTAGCTTTCCTACAACTATGCGTTGAAACTGTCACCACCCAAAGATTTTCAGACACAGATCAAAAGGCCAGGAAAGTCAGACAGTCCAAGCGATGGTTTTGTGCAACCAGGCAAAGCGAGAGAAGTGAAAGGGACCTTAATGAGCCTATCGATCCCTGCACTCGCACAACGTCCTCGACACCTACACCGCTCCTGACAGATTTGCATTTGATTTGAATTGCTCCAATGATGGAGACACTACACCACCCTCGGCAGTTTATTTCTGAGCATTAATTACGCGTTAAATTAGAAAGCCTTACTCACACCTCAGTGAAACCTGCCTGCTTCAAGTTCACCAGATTTTTACTGACCTCTCCCCAGTGATCACCATTTTTTTTTTTTTAAACAACCTAAGACACACTGGGCAGCTTCTGTCCCCCTTCAGCGTTTTTTTAGTCCCGTACCGAAACACTTCCCACAAGCCACTGCAATTCCCAAGCCCCCTGTGGCTCTGCCTTGGCTGTCCACATCCGTCGCGACACCGCGACTGGCCAGACGTGGTCTCCTCCTGCGCTGAGGCAGGCCCGATAAATTTTATCTGTCGCGACATGCCCGTAACACGCGACCCAACCCGAGCAGCAGCCGCACCGCGCTGAGCAATGCGCC